AAATAAAAAATATCTGAGTGCTCAGTTAAATGTATACTGTCTTTCTCTGGGAACAGACTGAGAAATTACTCAGCCCTGTTTCTCACCCATTTGATAGCAAGCCTCAGAGAAGCCCGGACTTCAGCTTCCCCCTTGATATTCTTTCAGTGTCTACGTATTACTGATGCTCGTCTAGAGGGGGCCCCAAAGGAAGCCAGGAAAGAGACAAAGGAACATTTTCCCTCTGGTGTCAATGCAATGTATTAGGATTCACATGAGATTAAAAAAAGGAAAATCAAATGTATTCCAGTATGCTAAATAGTCCTCAGGTTGTTTTCACAGCCTTTTTTCTATAAACAGCATTTTATTAACACGGACAGTCCTTTGGCAAGTATCTAGTTGACCTGGTGTAAGAGTGGGACACTGTGGTAGGGGGCAGGTATGGCCTTGCACTGCGTAAGTGTATGGATTAGCAAGAGACAGCAAATGAAATAGTTGTAGGGAAGTGTGACAGGCAGTCATCTAAACCAAAGCTGTGCAGGATGCTGTAAGGGCACATAACACAAGCACTTACCCTCGTCTAGAGCGCTCATTTCCCGAAGCAACATTTAAATGACATTTCGATTGTGATGGAAGCGTTGGCATCAGCTGGGGGAGAGGGGACACCTCAGTCTGCTCGGGCTGCCGTGGCAGAATACCACAGACTGCTGTCAAACACCGGTTATCATCTCATAATTCTGGAGGCTGGAAGACCAAGATCAAAGTGCCAACAGGGATCGTATCCGGTGAGGCCTCCCTGTAGATGCTCCCTTCTTGCTGGGCTCTTACTGGGCCTTCTGTGTGTGGGGAGAAGGGAAGGGCTGGACTGGGGCAGGGGGTTGAGGCTCATTGCTCTGTGTCCCTTCTTCTCAGGGAGATACCAGCCCTATTGGAATCGAGCGCCACCCTTTTGACCTCATTTAACCTTTATTACCTCCTTAAAAGCCTTATTTCCTAGTACAGTAAGTTGGTGGTTGGAACATCAACATATAAATTTGGGGGGCGGACACATTTCAGTCCCTATGGGGAGGAGAGGGAAGGAGAATATTCCAGGTAAAGGGAGCAGGACAGGAAGACGTTCAGAGGTGGGAAGGTGAGCAGGAATCCGAAGGGAAAGGGGGTCTTTGTGGTTTGAGGGGGGATGCTGAGATTGGGAGGGCTGTGGAGAAAGGGGAGTGCAGGGGAGCCAGCCCCACTTTGAACTCTTCAAAGGTTAGGAAGTCTTAGGTACTGATTTTCCCCCCTTAAACTCTGATATTATAAAAAGCTCTGAATTAAGAGGAGACAATCTGGGGTTTAATAACTGAAACCTTGGACAATGCATTTGTTTTTATCTCTGTTTTCTCCAATTTAAAAATAGTCATATTATAACCGTTAACTTCCTGGATTGTTGGGGCATATGAGATAATGACTGTGAAATGTTTTAGAAACAAAAATGTACTGTGTAATTATTGAAGATTTTTTTCTTTTTATCTTTCACCAAACCAACTAGTTTTTTCTGCAAAAACCCACCTGGATTTTTTATCCCTTCCTTTTGTGGTACACACTCAAGGCCCTGCGTAGACCGCTCCTCAGTCCAATATTCTTTACATTTTCTTTGCTGATCTTTTCAAAGAACTGGCAAGATTGAAAAAAAAAAAAACAAAAACAACAACAGGTTGTTCTTTGGATTAAAAAAAAAAGTCATGCTTTCTGCAAAAATGTCTCCATTATTCCCAATTGTCTTATTTTTTCTCTATCTCATTTGCCGTCCTTAGGCAGAATTATTCTCTGGCCTCACATTGCCACAGTGCTTTTCTGTCTTCTAGGCCAAAACATGTGACTGTTATTACCTTTTGCAGCTCACTAAGCTCTTTCTGCCATTGTTCACCTCCGAAATCCTGCCTTTTTATAAACGAATGTTCTGACTGACTCAGACAGGAGTGGTCATTTTCACTGTGACATGTCTTTATTTTTCATCATTCCCAAGTACCTTGTTATTTGGTGCCAAAAACCAAAAACTAAAATATATATGCATGCATTTAATACCCTATGTATGTATATGTGAGGTATAATACAAAGTAAGGAGAATATTGTTTTGCACACATCAGAATTTCAAAGTCACTTGGGAAGTTATATACTCTGCATCTGAGATTTATATTACTAATTTTCTATGGGGTTTTTAAATGCCTATTTCAATTCCTTATGTAGTAAAATAATCAAAGAAACTAGTAGAGAAGAATAAGAAATCATTCAATGTGTTCATAAGAAAATGAGACCTGTTAAAACTAATTTATGCAACGTATCAGCTGCTGCCTCTCATGTTTTCTTTTTATTTATATGGCTATTGCTTTATTTGATCAGAAGCCTGACCTTGTCACTGTAAAATTATGTTTATGTTGTTTGATTAATGTTATATAATAAACGTCTCTTAACTGTAGCAGTAGCACAGAATTTAAATGGCCTCCGAGGGCAAAAGGGACAATTAAGACAAAGAAACAAATGGTTCTGAGGGTGCAGCTCAATCAGCCAGCTCCCTTCCCAGAGCACTTACATTTCATTTACCCCCACTCCCAAGCAGGGTGACTGTGTTTGGTAAAGTCACAGAGTTCTCATGAAAAGACAGTCAATATGAGTAGTCTTTTAAGAATGGAGGGAACGAAATTGTCATTAACTTGTAAAACATCGGTTGACCTTGCTTAAATTTCAGAAAATAAAATGTCAGTGCACATAAACACATTTCTCTCCACACTAAAAAATTCTAGTCTATAATTTACCTGCTTACTAAGAATAGAATTATTATGTAAAGGTTTACTGGGATATCCCCCCCCCCCCCGAAATAGATTTAACCCACAAAATTATTCCATTTTCTAACTGTGCTCTCTTTACTACCACCTAGTGGACTATATGAAGTTTGTCTGTCAGTTAACACTGGGGGAAGGAAATATTGAATAAGATGAAGTTTATCTGGAAAAAAAAATTCCATGGTGATGAGTTATTGTTAGTTCTTTAGTACAATGCAGGTTTCAAAAAAAAAAAAATACATGAGTTTGAAGTAAATAATAAAAAAAAAAAAAGGTCCAGGAATTCATGTGATATCTAATTAAATGCTTAACTACCAATAAAGCTATTTTATTCAGAAACTTAGCAGCTAGATAAATCACTGAGGCTGCGTCTTGCCTAGTGTACTTCTAAATGATGCTGAGAAGCTTCTCTTAATCACTCAATATGAGGGTCCATAAAAATTTTAAATATTAAGGTTCAAAGCTCCGCTGGTATGAAGGGATCATTGTACTAACTTAACTGACAGGTAAATGACAATGCAGAGAGAAGGTAGTAAGTGGTTATCAAGGCTCGGAAGAAAGGCAGATGCGTATATTCTGAGGTATTCTCTCCCAAACAGTGAAACCAAAACAAGGCAAATGAAGCTTTAAGGCTCGTCACTCTTTCTTGGTGGGGGAGCCTAGTTCAGCCCCTAGTAAAGAAGAAACACAAGCCAAAAACCAAAACCTGCCATTTGCTGACTAATTGCTCTAACTTGGTTACTCATCATCCAGTGTCCGTTTGCTCTGTGGCCGCCCGGGCGTGGCCCTCGTGTGTACACGGAATGTGAGTGGAATCGTCTTCCTCTGCTCGGGTGGCATGCCTTCCAGATGATGTCAGTGTGACCATATACAGACACATATTCTTATGCTCATGAGTATTTGACCTACCTGATTCTTTTTTTTTTAATTCTCACCCAAGGATATGTTTTTAGTGATTTTAGAGAGATAGGGAGAGAGAGAAACATCAATGTGAGAGAAACATTAATCAGTTGCCTCCTGTATACACCCTAACCGGGGATCAAACCCACAACCTCGGTACGTGCCCTGGCAGGAATCAAACCCGCAACCTTTTGGTACAGGGGACAAAGCTCCAACCAACAGAGCCACCCGACTATGGTTACCTACTTGATTCTTGATGATCTGGGCATAAGTAGGGAAATAAGGCCTAGGTAGGGAAGTGGGAGATAGAATTAAAATTCAGCAAAACATATTTCTAGATCCATTTTCAGCCTGTTTCATCAAACATGACAAAAGCCACTGGAATTGAGTTTCCTTCTCTCCCTGACAGATTCCTACCCCCATCCATCCAGACCAGGTTCTAGCAAAGACTCGACACAGCATCTTATAACCCAGGACTCTCAATGAAACAGTCCTGACTTGTTTTCTTCCGTCCCGTGGTCTTGAGTGGCACCGGACAGCCCAGTGACCGCTGGTGCCTATATGATAGGTAGCCCTCAAAACCTCATCAGTCCCTCGATGTTTCTCCTTAATAAACAGCTGGCAGTAATTACGTATAACTGTGGTTGTGCTGAAGGAATCTGTATGATTTTGTGCTGTTGACTTATGGTGAATGTTTGTGGGAAAGACCATCTGCTGTCTTTGTCATTGTGATGATGCAGGCTCCTGAGGCCTTCATCCTCTGCCTATCGGGGATATATTTATCTTGTCTGGGGTCTGCCTCTAGCGTAGCTACACACGTGCTGTCTGGTACCCGTCACAGTGAGGTCTGGCCACAGCACACTTCCCCACGCCTCCCCCTGCTGGAGGCCCCGGGGAAAGAAGGAAGTTAGAGAAGCGAATATCATATTTCATCCCCAAAGATAAAGTCATGTCTGAGTCCTTCCATTTTTAAATTTCCAATCAATACAACATTGAAGGGTGGTACATAGCTAGTTGTTAAAAATACACTTCTCTAAAAACCCTACTAACAAAAAAAAGAGACATGTTTGCTTTTCTTCTAAAAGCCCAACAACTCAGAAAGCAAAGCAAAATGAAACTGATGTCCTCTGTTCTCTGTGTTCTTAGAAGACCATCGGGCTTTGTGTAAGTCCATGTTGGAAGTAACAGCCCCTGTCCTCCGGTGGCCCCTTTGGGAGACAGTGACAGTCCTGTTCTAGACTTGAAGACTGGTGTCTGCATTTTAAACAGACAGTTGTGTGTGCTTTTGCTTTATTGCAGCCTTCTCTTGGAGTCAAAAAGCCTACCAGAGCCATGATCTTCGTGATCCTGAGCCCAGTGAGATCTTACTTTTCGGCGGAAACCTTAACTCCCGTGTCCCTGTGGGCTAATCCGAAGTTTGTAAGAGCCTGGAAAGGTGGGACTGGGGACTGCAAGATGGGAGGGTAAGTAAGTCTGCTTCCGTCTGAACGAAAGGCTTCCCCGGGACCATTTGTTTGCCATTTCACTCCGATACAAGTACATATATTAATTTTGCAATTGTAATGCTTAGTTTTGTTTTGTGTTCAGTTTCCAGTGTTTTCACTGTGCTAGTTATTTAATGGATACCATGTGGACCCCCTGTAGGGAGACACATTGAATGTTATGCATAGGCATGAATTAAAATAAGTAACCAAAACAGGAATCAAATCAGTGCTTTGAATGAACTGCCCCTGGATGCTGGCCCTCTGGCTGCAGGCTGTGGGCTGGCATTGAAGAGCGTCTGGTGCTGGGGCCAAAGCCCTCGGGTGGCTCCAAGGAGTCCTGTCTGGGGAAGGTGCCTGCTTCATTGAAGTGCTGTCTTCATTGCCACAGATTGTAGCCATACCTGCTGCCAGCTGGCGGAGGGACAGGCGGCTTTGGCTCTGTCAGGCCAGTCTCATAGGCCATATGTAGCTGGCTGGAAATAAAAGAGCATTTGAAAAGTGTTAGACAATTTCAGGGGTGGACTTGGCCGCGAATGGGGAATGCCCCTGTGGGTGAGCAAGAATAGCTGCATTAGCCAGCCCGGGCTCTTCCGCTGTGAATACCAGGGCGGGCGGGTATCGCGTGTCCGGGGCAGCGGCGTGCAAGGTGGCCCAGTGGCAGTCTTCTGGGCCCTGGTACAAAACGTAGAGTCAGGAAATCCTGGGGGACTCGAAGGATGTGCTGCTGGGTGTGAGAGAGAGATGTTGAAGTTGGCTTTGACCCTCGTGCCGTCTCTCTATTCTCTACCAGAAAAAAAAAAGCTTATGAAACTCTATGTCCTGTCGTCCCTGTTTGCAGTTTCAGCAGCTGCACTTGTCAGTGGAGAGAGAAATCCCAGTGCAGTTGGTTAAACTGGGAAGTCACTTTCTTTCCCTTCTGGGTTAGAGCTCCCCTTCCTGACTATGTCCTGGGCCAGCCAGGTTGAAACGACTTCTGTTTACTCTTTTAGTTTCTTTCTTAACTCATTCAGACTTCTTTATATTCACTGCGTAACATCTGTATTACTTTGTTAAAACTTTTCTTAGAGTGCACATGACAGTAATCAACAATCTTGATAAAGAGGTAATCATTTAAAATAGTTTTTCTTCTGTATATCTTGCTTTCTAGCTCCCTCGTCCAGCCTAGGGACATTGAGAGATAGCGGGAAATCTTTAGTTTTGGCATGTAGGCAGGATGCTATTTATTATTAAAAAAAAGTTCATGCAGTATCAACAGAATAGAGAGATGATCAGTATAGGCCAGTTGAAAACGAATATGGTGTTAGTGAGGGTGTGGGAACCCTCGTGCACTGCTGGTGGGAATGCAGACTCGTGCAGCCGCATGGAAAACAGTATGGAGGTTCCTCAAAACATTAAAAATGGAACTGCCTTATGACCCAGTGATTCCACTTCTGAGTATATGTTAGAAGAAACCCAAAACACTAATTTGAAAGGCTACATGCATCCTCTATGTTTATTGCAGCATTAGTTAAAAAAAAAAAATTGTTTTCTTTTATTGATTTTAGAGAGAAAGGAAGGGAGAGGGAGAGAAAGATAGAAACATCTATGAGAGAGAGCATCGATTGGCCAACTCCTGCACGCCCCGCACTGGGGATCAGGCCCACAACCTGGGCATGTGCCCTGACCAGGAATCGAACCTGCAACCTTTTGGTGCATGAGTCAATGCTCAACCACTGAGCCACACCGGCTGGGCAATTGCAGCATTATTTACAGTAGCCAAGATATGAAAGCAACCCAAGTGTCCATCAATAGATGAATAGATAAAAAAAGCCATGGTACATATATACCATGGAATATTACTCAGACATAAAGAATGAAAACTTATTCGTGACAATATGGATGGACTTAGAAGATATGCTACGTGAAATAAATCAGACAGACAAAGACAAATACCATATGATTTCACTTACTTTTGGAATCTAAAGAACAAAATAAATGAACAAACAAAATAGAAGTAGACTCGTAGATACAGAGAACAGATTGATGCTTGTGAGGGGTTGAGGAACTGGGTGAAAGATGAAAGGATTAAAGAAGTACAAATTGGTAGTTAGAAAATGGTCACGGGGCCCGGCTAGTGTGGCTCAGTGGACTGAGCGTCATCCCATGGACTCAGAGGTCCTGGTTCGATTTCCGGTCAGGGCACAGCCTGGGTTCAGGCTTGATCCCCAGTAGGGGGCATGCAAGAGGCAGCCCATCAATGTTTCTCACATTGATATTTCTCTCTCTCTCCCTTCCTGTCTCTCTAAAAATCAATAAAAACATTAAAAAATAAAATAGTCACAGCGATGCAAAGTACAGCTAGGGAATAGAGTCAATGATATTGTAATAACTAGGCATGGTGCCAGGTGGGTACTGGAAATATTTGGGGGACCACTTTGTAAAGTATATGATTATTTAACCAGTATGCTATACACTTAAAATGAATATAAAATATTGAATGCAAACTGTAACTGATAAAAAAAGTAAAAAAGAATAATTATTGAAAAAATTAATACTGTCTGTACAACACAAATTATGAACCCTAATGTCCCTATGGACTTTAGTTAATAATAGCGTATCAACATTGGCTCATCAGTTATAACCTCACTAATGCAAGATATTAGTAATAGAGGAAACACGTGGTAGGGGGATAGGATCTATGGGAATGCTGTACTTTTTGCTCAGTTTTTCTGTAATTTTATGACTGCTCTGAAAAATAAAGTATATTTTAAAGCAACACTTGAACGCATTAGGCTCAGGTGGACTATAATCAATGGAAGTTGACTTGAAATCTTTTAGAGAAAAAAAATTACTGGACCTCATAAATAATAGCAAGAACAGCAAGTGGGAAGGCAGTCACCAAAATAATGGACTTTTAACTCATCTGCCTGTTGTTTCCAAGAAGCTCTACAGCTCTCTACTCCTATTCTTCCAACCTGGAGAAGGTCAAGGGGAACACACGATTCTGTGTTTAGTGTCAACCCATTCGGTAGGCAGGGGCCTTGTGGCAGCAGCCTTAGTTCATGTATTGCTTCTTCTCTAAATGTAATTAATTCAGCATTTACTTTCCAAGCCTTTTTTAGGACCTCTGTCATCAATTGGCATTTATTAAAAAGCTGTTAAATCTCATAAGCTCAAAAATTTTCTATCTAAGTGAATCTGAGGAAGAGAGAGAAGGATTTTTTAAAAAATTCTAAGATTATTTCACTATTTTGAAACCATCAGAGATAACATTATCCTTTTATTTCTAAATATACATGAGAAAAGTAGTAGGAAGGCACACGGCTGAAGGCGAGAGCTAGCCTGTCGCTGCAAACAGAAACCGCCTGGAGTCCTCCACCTGCTACTCATGTCTGGGTCCCTTTGCAGTTCTGGTTTCTTTGGTCTGGCATGTAGCCTGGGCATCAACATTTTTAAATACACCCCCAAAGTTGAGAAGCACTGAACTAGATGGTCTTCCATCAAAGGAGCATCTTTATTCCTAGGCAATTTCCTAGTTTCTTAGTGAAGTTGGAGAGAATCGGGCCTGCCCCTCCCCCCAACTTAATGTTTTTCTTTTTTCCCTCTTATTTGGCACTTGGGTCGCTTGCTCTGAAGCTTAAAAGACCCGGCTTAGAAAAACAAAATGCTTTTGGTTTAACTGCTCAAAGCCTCAGTTTCTTCATTTATGAAATCAGATTAATGATACCCACCATACCTGTGAGGCTTCCGTGAGAAAGTGCCGAGGACCGTGGCTGGCATTAAGACCGGCTCAGTGAGTGTGGTGTGATAACCCGGCAGTTGAGAGCGTGGGCGTGGGAGTCAGAGATATTGGGGAGTCACGCTTATCTCTGTGTGATCGTGTTCAATTAACTCCCCTTTTCCTGCAAATCCTCAACAGTGTAGTACAGTCTAGGGTTGTTTCAAGATGAGTCAAAGAAATAATGGGGTTAAGTGCCCAGTACCCTGTCCGGCAGGCAGTATGCTCTCAACAGACAGGAGTTGATATTTTGAGGCTCTTTCTTGTTTCGTCTTCTGGAGTCTATCTTAGGAGTAACCAGTTGGATTTCATACAGTAGAATGTTCTCTTCTGGAGCAATGGACTTACTATCTCCTTTCTCAGATATTTATTTTATTTAAAATTATATTAAAAAAATTTCTATGTAGACAGTTTTCCCATTTTTGTCATTTTTCTCTTTCCTCCAAAGAAATGTGTTTCTCTTCTGAATATTCGCAGCATGTGGGAATGAACCCAAATATATCACTATGGTATCACCCTGTGGACATTAATAAGACAGCTTACACCTGAGAGAATTTTCAGAAAAATGTGTTTAGGGGAAAATACCATCTATAGAATATGAGAAACAAACCAACCAAACAAAAACCCCTTTTTCTCTCAATGCACAGAAACAGTCGGCTTTAATTCTCTTTCCTGCCCAAGTAGCTTTATGTTGCTAAGGAACCACAGTGTTAATTCTTCCACGCTTTCAAAAGTGTGTGTGTTTGTTTTTAGAAGCATCTTCAAAAGACTAAATGTTGATGCTGTGAAAATTCTGTATGCCTTTTTTTAATAAAGTAAAGGGAATTTTACTTATGAGAGAAATTTCTCTGTTGTCAGATATGGTAAAATCTCAACAGTTGTGTTTGTGAACTAGAGAAAGTCTATTATAATAGTTATTTTAAAAATTAATTTTAGTAGCATGTAAGAGGCTTATATAACCTGTTCCTTTGCTTTTATTTTTGTTATTTTATTCTCCCCACACAACCCTAAGCAGTGTGTAAAGCAAGAGTTTCCATGCCAGGTGAATTCAGTGAGGCACAGTGGGAACGACGGAAGGTCACGCAGGCCACGCAGGGCAGCTCAGGAGCTGGGCCTGGACCCGCTGGTCCGCCCCTGCACCAGGGCTGATACTCATTATTAAAAAATACCCATACTTTAACTCAATTATTGCCTGTATACCATCCATTCTGAATAAAGGTTATCTGACTTTTTATTAAATAAAAGCCTCATATACCAGAATTGTATCATCTTCCGATTAACCGATAATTTATATTTTATCTTTTGAATTTTGAAGGTCTTTTAATGACTGTCACATGACTTCTGTATGAGCAACCCTCTGCACGCCCCAGGCTGCTATGGCCATGTAGTACGCTGCCTATTTCCCACAGCTTTCTAGAATATTTTAGTTATTAGTCAACATTCTTTCAGTTGCTAGTCAGAAAACCAACTGAAGCCATCTCAAACAGGAGGAGGATTGATTTGCTCCTGTAAGTAGGCAGTGGATCTGTTAGGAGCTCAAATGGTTTCCTGCTCCCCACCCCCCAATCTCTTCTCTAGCTTCAGGCTGTGTGTTAGCCTAGGGCTCTCCTATCAGATGTCTTCTCCTGTGAAGGCTGGTGATCATGGACACTAGCTGCCACTACCCTTGAAGGGAGAAAATACATCTTTCACATTCCGTAGAATCAATGAATTCAAAGGATTTACATGAGCAGCTTAGGCTACACACCCATCGTTTAATTCAGTTGTGCTGGGCGAGGTGCCGCTGCACAGGAAAAGCCACAGCGCATGCAGAGGGCCGGGAAGCTGTGCCCACCAGGGCGGCGTAGCCTCTGTGCTGCATGGCTGTCACGCTTCACGGACCCTGGTACCTAGACAATGCTCGACATTTTAATCTTGCCCAGATGTGCAAGTGATCACTTAAAAGGCCTAGGAGGGTATTTCGTGGAGGACGACATGAATGCTTTGTAGTAGTTATTGTATGTGTGATCGGTTGCTTGTTTCTATATATCTCTGGGGACTTCATAGTCCAACAGCGGGTCTAGGGTTTGTTTCCGAGCTCGGTGGTAGTGTGGTAGTGCTTTTCCAACCTGTTTGCTAATGTCTTCTGAAAGCGAAGGGAAGTGAGTTATACAACCAGGGACTGAGGGAGACAGGCAAGCATCACATTTACGTGAGGACTCTCATGTTTTATTTTATTTTATTTTATTTTATTTTATTTTATTTTATTTTATTTTATTTTATTTTATTTTTGTCCTCACCGGAGGACATTTTTCCATTTTTTGTTCAGGTAGAGTGGGAGGGAGAGAGAGGAACAGAGAGAGAGAGAGAAACATCGATGTGAAAGGAACACATCGAGTGGCTGCCACCCGCACAACCGACCAGGGCCGGGGACAAACTGCAACCGAGGTACGCGCCCCTAGCGGGAACCGAACCCGGGTCTCTCAGGACCGCAGGCCGACGCTCTAACCGCTGAGCCAAACCGGCCAGGGCTCATGTTTTATTTTAAACATTCACTCAGACCTTGTAATATATGTCATTTAAGTTGAATAAAAAATAAATTTAAAATATTACCAAAATAAGGCATTGTTCTAGGAAGACATACCTTGTTTCTTTGATTTTGAATAATTCAAGATGAAAAGTGCAGGTTGGAAAAAATGGGTTTTCAGAATACTTTTTGGTTAAAATCAGGATTTTAAACATCTTGTCCCACATTTGGGGGAATTTAGACATTTCCTGGATATATTGAAAGATCTCAGTTTAGAAAGTGAATACTTGGTGTTCTGCTACTTAATTGCTGTAACTTGATACAAGTTACTTCTCCAGACCTCAGTTTCTCATCTGAATTATGGAAATAATCATAGGGGCTGATTTAGTACTAGCGTGAGGTTTAAATGAAATAATGCATACACAATTGCTTGGTAGGTGAAAAAAAAATAATCACTTTTAACAGTTGTTACCTCGGCTATTTATCTGTGTTCTTATAGCTCTACTTTTTAAGTTAGAATTTGCTCTTTCTCCCTCTCTTTCTCAAATGTGTGCAATTAGATCATTTACATTTTAATTTAATGTTCTGCTATTAACTAGAGAATACACACGCACACACATAATAACGTAAATTGAATTAATCCATGTCAGACCCCCAATGATTCCCCGTTTTAACCTTTCTTATATACAGTACATGTCTGTGAACAAGTTGGTCAAGAACCGAATTGTTCGAGATGGAAGATGTTCGAGAACCACAGTTTGAATGTGTATATAATTTATACGTATTATACATATTAAGAACACAGTACCTTGATTACATCCACATGTGAATGAAGGACTTGAGTATTTTAGTTTGGAAGATTGGGGGTAAGGGTTGAAGTACATGTCTAATCGAAGTGTTTCCTCTTTCTTAAAGGAATTATGGCTCCTCTCTTCTTGCCCAGTGCGAAGCAATGGACAACGGGTGTCAGCAGGTGCTGTGGCTCCATGGAGAGGACAATCAGATAACGGAGGTTGGAACTATGAATCTTTTCCTTTACTGGATAAATGAAGATGGAGGTAATCCCCTCAGATTGCAGCTCCTTGTTTCTTGTTTTTGTTGTTCAATCATTTTCAGTGGAATTGGGGGAAATAAACTGGACCCTTAGAACAAAGGAATAAGTAGCAGCATTTGCTGTCCAAGTAGACATGAGTGGAAGTTTACAGAATACAGTGATACCTCGGTTCTCGAACGCCTCGGTTTTCGACCAAATCGGTATTCGACCAGGAGATTCGAGAAACTTTTGTCTTGGAATCCGAACAAATATTTGGAACTCGAACTTCCGAGATGAGCCGAGTTGAGCCGAATGGCGTTCATTCGGCCCAGCGCGCCTTGCTCGCGTCATCAGTGTGAGTGCAGAGAGAGAGTCACGCTTTGTGGAGAGAGTCACGCTTTACACTGAATTTAACCCTTAGACATACTGTACACTTTTATTTCTTGTTGAGACTTATGTTTTTCTACATATTATATACAAATTAGGCCAGTAAATAGGCATTTTCTGGGGCTTGGAACGAATTAATCCAGTTTCCATTATTTCCTATTGGGTTTCATTGCTTCGGTTCTCGAACAATTCGGTTCTCGACCATCCTCCTGGAACGAATTATGTTCGAGAACCGAGGTATCACTGTATATAAAGGTTTTGTTTTTTGGCTCTAGATGTACTTATTATTGAGGTGTCAAGTTAAGGAATTTAAAGCTCCACAGTTTGAAAGTTTGCTGCCTTATCCCTTCTGCTGTCTTCACATTTTTCTTATTGGAAATCTCCTGTCTTTGGAGATAGGTCTCAGATCAATTTAATAGTCATGCACTAAATACTATGTATAAACGGTTATAGTAATAAACATAGTCTACTGACTCAACTGATATGAAATGTAGTATACTCCCTTGCTATAATTCTGTCAAAAATTGTTGCCTTTTAAACGAATTTTTGATGTCTCAGAAGCCCTCTAGATTTACTCTGGAGCTCACTTTGATTGAAGCACATTACTTTTAAGGACATAATGCTCTGTCTTGGGATGGTACTTAGATCCTGGTTCATGCAAGTCTATTAATGTATGTCTACTATAAAAATTAGTATTTCTATTAAGCCTCAATATGGGTTTCAATTAAAATGTTAAAAGAAATTTTTATTTTAAAGAAGCTAGAGTAGTCTCTGTTGCTCTTTTGTTATTTGGCTCCAAATAGAGGAAAATGGTGACTCATGGCCGACATTAGAGCTATGCACTAACTCGAGCGTTAGTTGCAGAGACTAATGAGGTTGAGCCTGGTGTGCCAGTGAGAGGCAGAAGGAACAGCAGGTGTGGTAGCGCACTTGTCCTGGGATCGGTAGTCCATGGCATATGAATAGGCTGGTACAGGTCATGCTCATCCTTTCATCCCTGCTGTTTGTACTTGGCACTATTTCAAAACAAAGTCATACTGGAATATTTGTAATTTCTAAATTTGAGTCATTGCATATGACATAGATCAAAAGCTGTGCTTGAAAGATGACAGCCAGTATTGAAATCTCCACTTAGGAGATAATAAATTGATTCAACTCATTCTCCCCACTCCTACCGTCATTACCCCCAAAACCCACACAACTCCAAACAAAAATAATTACATCAGGCAGAAGTGGCAGCATCGACATTTAAGGACAGGGGATGTCAGGATTTAAGCACAGTCTAAACCAGAGCTACATAATTTAACCAGAAACAGTTCTGGTGAAAAATTACCCTTTCTCCAAACAATTATCATGGACCATTTCCACTATGGCTTTTAAAGGTCAGAATAGAAATGAGTGAATTTGTCTTCGCTTGCAAAATATACAAGACCTCAAGAGTTATTATTCAGATTATGGTGGCCTGAGATAAGGTTAGTGTTAATATGACTGTGTTCCTTCAATTTAAGGGTATCCACCTAACAGATTAAATAAAAATTAAAGTAAGGAGAAAGGAAACGGAATAGATGTTTGGACAGTACTATGGGACAGTGGTATAGTGTCAGGGATAATCTCTGGGCTAAAACCAAAAGAAGACATTGAGGCAACTCTATAGTAACTTTGATTTTACCATGTGGCTTTAAGAAAATATAAAGAATAATAGGATAGAATTCAGAAAAATACTGATTTTCACAAACTTCACCAACAGTAGGTATAAGCAGAGTTCTTGTAGTGATAACCAGCCGTCTGTCCATGAGCACCCATCCCTGCTTTTGGACAAGAGAGCTACCCCAGAAAGATCGATAAAGTAGATAATTTGCTCACAGCACAGTGCCGTGCATGGTGACTCTATGTGGCACTTGCCCCATAACTCATGTGGATTTTGATTCCAGTGACAGCAGCCCTGGTGGTTAGATCACACAGTTCTCTTTTTCATTCGGTTGATGAATAATTTAACACATATACTTGCAAAGACTACTAAGACTGTTGTAATAAGTTTTACCTTGTATGAAGTACTGGAGCCAGACACCCTGAGAACTGGACTCAGTTATTGTGGTTGAGGTCACAGATAGTTTGGGAGAATGATCATGGCAATGACTCTTGATTGGCTCAGCTGGCTCAGGCCCTTGGAGCCGCCCTGGGCATCAGGCATTTACACCAATTCTGCCTGGTGCACTCTTCGCCCGATGGCTGCTGGCTGGCTCCCGCGCTGCCTTCCAGTCTGCCCGCATATTCTCAGTAAGGCTTTTCTTGAGCTCCTTATCAAAAATCGCACTTCCCAACATATATCACCTTTTTTTTTTTTTCTCATGGTCTAACATACTGTTGAACATAAGAATTGTTTGCCTCCGCCTATTAGAAAGTAAGCAGGAAGTTGCATCAGTTCTGTTCACTGCTGTATCCATAGTGCCCAGATAAGTCAACTGCACATGGTGGGCACTCAATATACAGATGGTCCTCATTAGGGAGCTGCGTCCTGATAAATCCATCCATCGTGGGTTGAAAACATCCTAAGTCAAAAATGCACTTAATACACCTATCCTACCGAACATCATAGCTGAGCCTGGCCTACCTTCAATGTGTTCAGAACACAATATCCCCCAAACACTGGCAACACAATACACGGTAGAGGATCGGTTGTTGACCCTCGCTGCCTCTGCCCAGCATCACGAGGGAGTGTCGACTGCACAGCCTGAGAGAAGACCAAAATTCAAAGTTTGGTTTTTACTGAATGAGTATCACTTTCACACCATCTTCAAGTCAAAAATTTGTAAGTCAAAGCATCGTTAAGTTGGTCCCGCCTGTATATTTGTTGAACAAATGAGTAATTGTGCTGATGGTGTTTTGGGCATTTATGCAAACCCACATTCCTGGTTCCCATTAGTGCTTGACTTTGGGATGTCACAGATGAATCCTGCTGTTATTGCTTCTAAATTCTTCAGCTTCTAAAAATGATTTCTCTGTCAAAAACAAGCTGCATTTGTAGACTCTGTTTTCCTCATGTTGGGCCATCTGGAGCCGGTTCTGGCTCTCATAAGCATGTTTGTGGTTGCAGAGGAAAATGAATATTTCTCACCCAAATGTTGTCATGTCATCATCTCTGTCTGGCAACCAGAGAAACAGATGTTCTGTTCCTTGACCTCAGGCTAGTGGTTACAATTTGGGTGTTAAATATATTTCACAAAACTGCATTTGCACATGCGGGGCCACTGTTTTCATTTAACTTAATGGAGTCTTAGCACCCAGCAGGCTTTAGGAAAAGGTCCAGTTTGGGGGCACTGAAATTATGTTTGTCTCTATGCATCGTGGATGTGCATATACACACACATGTAGATCCATACATTTATATGTCTAGCTAGGCAAGCTATTGCAAAACAGGTTTATTTTGAGAGCAACATTTCAAAGTAGCCCCAAGAATGTTGCCAAGATCAAATTTTTTTCTTTCCAGAAAGCAGTTTTCAGCAGATGATTTTTAGACTCAAAATTAAAAAAAAAAAAAAAAAAATCATACTGCTGTATCCTAGCAAAGGGGATTAGTCATTTATTTTTATATTTTTTTTAATTCAAAACAGTTATTATATACCACTCTAAGCCAAGATACAGAGTTTTGGTCTTCCAGACAGCATGTTGACTGGGGATGTCTGATGTAACCAAGGTGAGCCCAGACCACAGGATACTAAGAGAAAGGGAAAGACCCCAGTGTTGGGACACTTAAGGTCTGGTCCCGACTGTCCACCAGTGTCATCAGCCTTGCAAGTCACTTATGTTTATAGGGCCTCAGTTTCTTTGGCAAAATAAGGATTGCACTAGGTGATTTCTAAAGTCCCTTTTAGCTGCATAACATGACGTGGGGGGACTCAGAGTCACCAGTGTGATTTCTACACAGCTTTTGCTACCTGGGGAGTCTTTCAAGCAAACCTGGTGATTTCCTCTACAGACACATGATGGGCAACACATCGTCCTTTACAAGGTTCAGCATCTTTATGAAGCAATGATTTAAGGTTTGCACATTTCTCAGGAGATGCAGATTCCTGGGTCCCACAGGTGGGGAGGTTGGGTACCAGAGATTTCCTTCTGTCCAAAGTGTTTGTGGGTGACGGGCCATGCTGGCTCTTGTAGACAGATCCTCCTGCCAGCCCTCACGCTGCTTTGCAGTGCCTGAGGTCATTCTCAACTAGACCAGTGTCTCAGCCTTGGCTCTCTATGACTCAACTGTGCAATTTTGTTTGTGTCTTTGGATTTTTTTTTCTTTTTTTATTGTTATCCACATACACGCTTGAGCCCATCCTAAGCCTATTACATTTGATTCTTAGAGGGTGAAGTCAGCAACTCCATATATGATGTGGCTACTTACTCTACAGTTTGAACATCACTAGAGAGATTTATCAAAGGGCAGTGTGGGATCAGTGACCAGCCTTAATAAACACCCACTCTTCTTGGGGGTGGGCTCCTCCATAGTATTCTTAAAAGAGTTGGTAATAACCAGTGTTCCTGACTAAGATCCTATTGGCATTATTGTAATTACTAACCAGCTTTAACCCACTAAAGGAAATTTTAACTTCCGAATGTTTCCCTTAAGAGTATTCTATAACTCTTACAGCTTGTTAGTGGAACACCTCATGTTTTTACTGGGTAAGGGTACATTGAAGATGATTAGATCTGTAGTGCCTTTCTTTTTCTTCTCTTTCTTTGTCTTCACCATCATCTTTATCTTTGTCTTCATCTTCTTTTTCTTCTAATAAAGATCTACCTGAAGTGTGAATGGAGTTGAGAAATTTGATAATGCACAACAGTAACATTATCTTCATGGTTATTACTAGCAAAGTGGCAAAAAAACGTTTTGTTAAATGGCCATTGATAGAAGGCATGGCTAATACAGCTAAAAGTTTGAAAATATTCCAATTTCTACTTGACAGAAGAAGAACTGGCAACTCCTCCGCTAGATGGCATCATCCTCCCAGGAGTGACGAGGCAGAGCATTCTGGACCTGGCTCTCCAATGGGTGGGTCTTTGACATGAACAACTTTTATAAGCGTGAAACAAAAAGTAATCAAAATAAGCCCAGCTTCGTGTTGAAATAACATCCTGCAGTTGCAACCAGTGTTATCTAATCTTTAATCTTAACTTGAGTGAAAAGAACTCTTCTAGAAGGACAGTCTTGGCAAAACCATCAAATAAGCATTGTTTATAGGGAGGGCAGAGAGAAACCAGTTTGTCGAGTTGTCCTGGTGAAGAAGTCTAGGACTAGTCTCAAACTCTATATCAGGTGTCTCCTACCAACTCACCTAGTTGATCATTTGTGTGCTTCCATTTAGCCAGTCCTTAACTTTTTAAGTCTACGTGCATTTTCACGTGGCAATGATTTTGTAGTTCTTCCCTTCCTCGGTATATTCCAGAGTAACCATGTTTATCGTAGAAATTAAAGAATATTACTGACATAAATGTTTACTAACATAACATTATTAATTTGGCTGCCTCTTTCTCCCTCCTTCATGCCCCTGTCCTCCCAAATTCACAGGCACACTTATTTTCAAACCAAAACCCTCAAGCAAGTGTAAAATTATTTTCAGTAGACTTTCTGATTCATGTGACATGGGCAAGCACGTTAAAGTATTTGATACTGGAAATGACATTATGACATACTCAAGATGAATGTTGAATGAGTTGGTTTTCTGGCAAGAGTTCTTGGATGCAACTTTTGACCCATGTGTTAAACTGATGTCCAAGGGACATGAAAAGGCTGTGAGCATTCTGTGGTCAAACAGCGCTAATAGGGCAGATGTTTAGAGACACACTCATTATCTAGGCAAGTACTAGCACAATTTCTCTGGAAAAGACTTTGGAAAGAGAGGAAATGGGCCTTGTCTGCTTCAGGGTTTCATAGACTTATTTATAGCACAACTGCCACATGCTGGCTGGCACATCGGGCATGACATTTACAAACTGTTTGTATAATTTCAAACAGCTTGCCCGTCCTAAATATGTTTGCAGTTGCAAAGATGTATTTTCAAAGCTCAGTAATTTTTCTTTTATTAAAGGAAGAAAAAAATCCAACCAAGTACAGAAGGTTTGATGACAAGTTGCAAGTGGAATGTTTCCCACACTAATGATTTGCTAGCATGAAGATAGATTATTATGGGGAAAGTTTTTTCTTGACTCCTTAGCTATAATTTATTTTAAAAGCTATTTAAAAACAGTGAGACATAAATGCCAAAAGGCGTGTGGGGGGTTACCATTACTTGCCAGACAGGGGAAATTGTCCAAAGACGAGTAAGGGTGAACAGCGTAGAAATAATTCTGTTTATTTACAAGAGATTTTTATTTTTATTTTTCCAGAACACAGAGCTTAGCTTGTTTTCAGTTAACTTGGCTGATTTTCTGGAATTTATTTACCTTTGAACAACATAATTGCAATTACAGCCTGAGATAAATTGAAACTTGCAAAAAACCATATTTCTATCGCAGGCATATTTTCCTGCCCTTCCAAATACACTCACGGCACAGTGCATTCTTTTGTTTTGAATCTTGCCAAGGGCTGTGATTTCCATTTTTACCTATTGTGGATCTGTAGGTTTTTAAAAATACTCTCATCTTATTTTTTAAAATCTACCCATTCTTTGTTGTCCTTCATTCAAATAGCCTGTTGACAAACATTGAACTTGAGCCACTAACATAGAAGAATCAGAATGACACAGTTGAAAGAATGCATATTAAATAGATAGCTGAAACAGATAGCTTTAAAAATCAGAATTTTTTTTTTCCATTTCTTATTCTGGAACAAATAAAACATTCAAATACTTTAGCAGAAGTCAGTGAGGTTAAACCAATAATTCTGTGATGAAACTCAATCTAACATGATTCTAAGAATAAGGGAGAAGATTACTGCTGTCAAGTCAACTGAATCAGGGAATTTAATTTTGGAAGAAAAAATATACAATGCAATTTCTCAAGTAAAATCCAAATACTTTCAATGTTTTGAAACAATAAAATCTTTCAGATATTTAAATTTAAAGTTTATGCCTTTACTCCATTACAGACACAGTAGGAAAAGGACCATATTTGGAGCAAGTTGGATCAGGCCTGAATTCAAATCCACTTTTTGCCATTTACTAGCTATGGGGCCTTAGGGGTGTCACTCAACTTCCTTGAACCTTTATTTCTTCATCTGTAAAATGGGGATGATAATACCCACCTTAAAAACGAGAGAACTTGGCATGCGATGGATGCTCAGCAAATGGTAACTACAAGTTTAATGTTACGATAATGTGTTCTGTTTTGTGGCAAATAGGACTTAAGACACTGTCAGCGTAGAGCACACTTTAGGTAGCACCAGCGTGCAGCAACTTGTGAGGCTTTAGACATGACAACAAATAAAAGGTAAAAAGAAAAGCAGCCATGCATTAAAATGTACCATGTCTTTTATAATGATAATCTTACATTTTATATTCTCATCATCTCATTTAGACAAGCTGTGACCTTGGGGTAGGTTGCTCAACACCTCAGCGTGTTTGCCAATAAGATGGTGTTGCTTTCTACAGCTTTCCCTCTAAGGACGATTCCGACGTTATCCAGCTTCAGTAGGAATGCCAAGCAGAGAGGTAGTACTGCAGGGCATTTCCCCCAGGCCTCTTCCTTAAAAATATGCATTATTTTATTTGTTTGTATTGCAAACAGGGTGAATTTAAGGTGTCGGAGCGGTACCTCACCATGGGTGACTTGACCACAGCCCTGGAGCAGAACCGAGTGAAGGAGATGTTCGGCTCCGGCACCGCCTGCGTTGTTTGCCCCGTGTCTGATATCCTGTACAAGGGCGAGGTAAGACAGCCTGCCATTTCCAAGCATTTGCCTATAATTTAATTTTTTTATTTTTTTATTTTTTATTTTATTTTTTTATCCTCACCCGAGGACATTTTTCCATTTTTTGTTCAGGTAGAGTGGGAGGGAGAGAGAGGAACAGAGAGAGAGAGAGAAACATCGACGTGAAGGGACACATCGAGTGGCTGCCACCCTCACGACCGACCAGGGCCGGGGACAAACTGCAACCGAGGTACGTGCCCTTAGCGGGAACCGAACCCTGGTCTCTCAGGAGTGCAGGCCGACGCTCTAACCGCTGAGCCAAACCGGCCAGGGCTAATTTAATTTTTTTAAAAACTTGTGAACAAAATGCTGGTTGGACCCAGGATGCAAAGGACTTTTTTATAAGTTGGCATTCTGTTAACTGGGACAGATTGTCCTCGTGAACCAGTATTACCAATGACATTCTTTCCAGTGATTTTATGTCCGCTCCAGCGTGGTAGGAAGGCAGTTTGTCCTTGGACGGGACCATGTCTGTCTGTTGTCCGTTGCGGGATTTGAGATGTGTTACTAGATTTCTATTCATTTCTTTCTACTGGCTTTCTAAGAAGGGGTCTTCAGGTCATTAGATTTCAACTGCTGATTTCCAAAGATAGTTCCAAACTATTGGAGTAGGAATGGCATAGAGTTACGGAAAATTCATTCGAATGATCAACTTCTACATTTATCACTGTTCATATTATTGCTGTTGTTATTAATTAGACCACTTTACAAAAATTTATTTGGCAAACCTGGTGCCTTTCCTAAAGTCTTTCAGCAGGAATTCAAGCATTTAGTTGGGAAAAATTTTCTCCTCCTAGTAAAACCAGTCTGATTTTATATGAGCTGTACTTCCATTTTTGGGTCAGTTTTTTGTTTGTTTTTGTTTTGCTTTTCCCTTTATAACAAAGTACTTACTAACATCAACAGTTAACCTTTATTTATTTTTTATTTAATCCTCACCCGAGGCTATATTTTCCATTTATCTTTAGATAGAGTGGAAGGGAGGAGCAAGAGAGAGAAAAACGTCGATGTGAGAGAGACCATGATTGGTTGCCTCCCGCACCATCAACAGCTAACTTTATACCTTAAAGTCATGTGGCTATTATTCTTAAAATGTGAGTTGGCTTACATTACTCATATTAAATATAAATTCTGTTGTTTTAACATGCAACATCATATAAGTTTTCCTCTGCTGGTGGATTGATTTTTTTTTTTTCCCTGCTGATTTTAATGGTGGCTGCTTCATTGCTTAATTTTGAGCTTGCTTTTGGGAATGGCTCCTGACCTAATTTCATCTATAGACTGTTTCAAGAGAGAAGAATGATTCTATTAGCATTCAGTACTTGTACTGATTATAAAGCCACTGTTTCATATTTTATTATGGTAGTATCTAGGTATTGGCTACTTTTTTAATGAACTACGGTTGTCATTAGGTCAAATATGTTTAAGTCCAATTATTATTTCACCTGTAGAAATAAGAAGTGTATAAAATTTAACATGTTTTTAATGGTCTTGTTTTAGAGGGCATCCCGAGCCAACAGGTACATCTAATTATCCTATTATCCTAAAGGGCATAATAAGAAGAGTGAGAACATGGACTACCTAAGAAAATCAGACTATCAAAGGCAAGCAAGCCAGCAAGACATGCAGGGACATGACTGCAATTTAAATCAGGGTCATGAAATCTTTCTCAGCCCTGCATTTTACCAGGCTCTCCCACACTGTGGAGGTGGTGGCCCCTGGGGGTTTGGCTCACAACAGATACAGCTTTAGAAGCCCCTTTTGTGAAGGCACAGACTTGCTTTCATTTATGTCCCTGAAATGATTTGCTTTAATTTGTGGCAAAATATCTTTGAGTCCTCATTTCCTGCCAAGAAGGTTAGAAGTGGAGGCCAATCGTTTAGCCTTGTTGCTTCGAGGAATGCTCTAAGAGATAGGGTTTTCTAAGTTTAGCCACTATTGTAGCCACTCATAGCTTCTCATTCATTTCTCAGATTATCCCAAAGACCGGCATGTACACCAGCAGTGCCCTAAATCAGTTGGTAGGCAATGAACAACCTGTCATTGGCTAGTTACTTTTTTGTTTAAATTCGGAATAGAAAAGAGGCTTTGAAGCCAACATAATCAAATTATAATAGTGCCATTGCTATATCAGGGGAATTGTCTTAATACAGTGGTGTTACTGAGTGTCCGGCTTGTCACTGTATACATGAATATCCTCTTTGTCTCTTGTCTGGTTTTCTTTCATAGACCCTACACATTCCATCTGTGGAGAATGGGACTAAGCTTGCAACCCGGTTCTTGGGCAAATTGATTGATATTCAGGTAAAGGCTTCTTTCATCTTATTTTAATCAGCGCTTAGAACCAAATCATAGTTCAGTGGCAAGAAGAGAGTAAAAACTGCCATTTGGGGTCAACACATTTAAGGAAGACGTTCCTGATAGTGTGTGTGGGCATAAGCGATACAGAAAGGGGAAAGAAAATACATGTTTGGAGAAAAAAAAAAAAGAAAATAATTGTTAGGGACTCCAGATTACTTAACATTAAAAAAATATATATGTATGTAAAGCCCTGGCCGGGTAGCTCAGTTTGTCGGAGCGTCATCCTGACGCACCAGAGCTGTGGGTTTCATCCCCGGTTCGGAGCAAAGCAGGAGCCGATGGCTCAAGGGCCGGTGGCACAGCAAGCGTGATGTTTCTCTCTTTCTCCCTTTGTCTCTCTCTCTCTAAAAAATTAATTTTAAAAAATTTAATATATATATACATTTTGATAAATCTAAAAATCTCATGAAAATGTATAATACTTTTATAAAAGAAAAATACTTGAAAGTAGAAGAAAGCACAGCAGAAGAAAATAATGCTGCCTGTGATTTCAACACTGAGATATAATCACTGTTAACTTTTGAGGTCTCAACTTCTAATATTTTGTAAACATTTATATATTTTTAGATAAATATATTTTCTAGCAAAATGGAACCTGCACTTTTCATTTAATAAATCATTTGCTTTTTCATATCAAAATAATTTTAATTCCATGTATGAAGTTAAATTGAATTCTATTCTATCGATATACCATGATTTTTAAAGAAATCTTATTACTGTACATTGGTTTTGTTGACAATTCTTTTACTATTAAAAATAGTAAATGAGTATTTTCTTAGGATACATTTCTGAATTCGGGCTCAAAGGGTGTGCACACCTTTTTTTCTTTTTTTGGCTAACTTTTTTTTTGCCTATTTTATTTTAGGAGCAATCTAACATCTCACAGGGCCCTTAAGTTTCTTTCTAGCCAGGCATATCAAATACCAGGAAATAAGAGACTATTCTATAACTTGTAAATACTCCATAAAGTTTGTAGAGGAGTTTGTTGAGCCTATGCTGCCGGTCAGTGAAAATACTAAAGAGGAGCAGAGATTTCTGCTGAAACACAAAATGAATTTCGATGGTTTGGGTAACATCAGGGGGTGCTGGGTCTTAAAACTAAGCAAAGATTCAGTTGGTCGGGGAAGCAGAGGGTCCCCACAGAGCAACTGAGGTCCTTAGTGATAAAAACGGTGTTTTTGACTATTTGGCAACTTTTATGTGAAACTAATAATATTAATAAAAGGAAAGAATAATTGTGGTTTTGAACCAATGAACTAGCTCTTGCCTCCACTCTTCAGCCAACATTTTCTGTGGGAGTTTTCTGCGAATTAAATACAGGACTATCTTAGTATTGAAGATAAAATCTATTCAGAGTTGTTTTCTACTTTTGTACATAGAAACAATGAGAAGTAATCTGAAGAAATTTAATGAAACTTCCTTCATGGGTGTTTCAGGTATTTGTATATTTTTTAGAGTAGTCTGAGTAATTCTGATGAAAGTGATAAGTTATTAGTGTTCTGCTCAAATAAAAAATATAAACAGAACTAAAATATGTAATTTTCTAGATTATAAAAGCCTCTCTCCAAAACAAAAGTTGAGAGGTTTTTGAGAGGGGAGGAAGTGTGATAAGAAAAAAAAACCCCTTTGGAAATGGTCTTGAACAAATTGTACTGAACAGAATGTTACATTTTCTAGTAGTCAGTACACCATGAGATTTCAGGGTTACCTCTTGGAGAGCATATGAAATAAAAAATTTGAACTGACTAGATTTGGTTGTGAAGGATTAAAGGAAAAGGAAAAGTAGTCAACTAGGCTGAAGGAAAAATCAGATTAAATCTGAACTGAAAGAAAGATCTAATTAGAGGTGTTCGACAGACAGTCATGAAGTTTTTGGCTCAGGAAGGCAAAGCAGAAATGTCCATCATCACCACTGAGATGGCGGGAAAAGAATGCATCCGAACCCTACAGTATGAGGACAAGAGAAGCCCAAGGACATAATTTTGGGGCAAGATGGGAAGCCATTGCAAAAGAAAATTTTCATTTTTATTTTTTAAATTTATCATTATTGTTGAAAGTATCACAGATGTCCCACCCCAACCCTTTCTCCCCAGAAAGTAAAATGTTGGAAGGCAAGAATGTCAGAATGAAGTGAATGTCTTTTATTCATCCTTTCAACAAATATGTGTATTGTTCCAGAGGCTGTTCAAGTGCTTGTGATGTAGTAGTTTAAAAAACGAGACAAATTATTAGGCCAGTCAAAGCACACTGATATAGAACACAATTAATATTCAATTTTAATGTGACACCTGTCAAAAGGTTTTACAATAAAATATAAATATAGAGAGAGAGCAGAGAATGAGAAGAAACACATTTTTTTAACCCACATATATCCTCTATGTACTTAAGTGCCTGTGGCTAAGAAGTTAATAATTTCTCTTTTTACACTAAGCAGTAATGGGTAGTGGATAATGGTAGCAACACCAAAAACTAATGATGCATTCAGAGCTCATTGAACAAAGAAACAAAAGGTATAGTTACAGAACACACGAGATAATACAACGATCTGAATTCAACCACAAACCAGAAGCACCAACTCTGCTTCCAAATTGTTCAGTAACAAAGGACCATCGTGCGGAATCAAAGACCACATCTTTTCTCTTCAATTACTTTATGCTTGTGGGCACAGAACCTAAAGTTTCAACATTATTCTCTTGCAAGATGGCAAATTGGTGCTGTCAACCCAGCTACTAGGTTGTCTGTTTCTCTCCAGGAGAAATACTTTAGGTCATTATTGAGGAAAAAGCATAGAATTGCATCATGGTTCACATTTGACCTCTGACATTACATGGAAGCATGGATATTAACAATGAAATGCTCTGGCAAATTGAAGAGGAGAGCAGCAACAATCAAAAACCCTAAAGATTCTTTCCAAGACGACCAGAGGAGATAATTCTTTCTTAAATATGAATTTGATTTTCATTTAAACTGTGTACTTTTTTTAAAAAATGTTTTTATTGATTTTTTTTTTTTTTTGAGAGAGGAAGGGAGAGAGAGAGAGAAACATCCATGTGAGAGGGATACATTGATCGGCTGCCTCCTGCACGCCCCCTACTGGGGGGTCAAGCTCGCAATCCAGGCATGTGCCCTGACGGGGAATCCAACTGGGACCTCTTAGCCTATGGGACGATGCCCAGTCCACCGAGCCACACAGACTGGGCTAACCTGTGTACTTTTGTATAGGAGTAAGAATCTCCGACATTAAATATTCATATTATTTGGCTAATTATTCATATAGTTCCCTGGGTCTTAGATTGCCCTACAAATACCTTTTTGGAAGGGAACATTACAAATGGCAGTTTCTTTTTTTCTCTCTTTTTAAGCAACAAAGAAAAACACTTCTGTGTTTGTACTGAACCAAACTTCAACTACTTCCTACTGCAGTTACTCACCATCCTCTCCACCTGTGCTCCGACCATTTGGGGTCTTCTCTGCTTTCCAATATGCTTTGCTGTTGCTGCTTCCTCCTGCTCTGTACCTTCTACAGTTAGCCCACATGATGAGAGGTATTGGTTGTCCTTAAGACACAGGTCCTTTAGGAACCTTTTAAATCTCTCTTGAACAACATCCCTTTCCCCCAGTACAAACACATTCTACCACTTCAAGGCTGCTTCTTTCTCCAGCTTCCATAGTACCTGGGATTATCCTGTCCTGACCTTTCACTTATGTTCTGGTTACACACTTGTCTTTGTTCTAGGGTTGTTTGAATGCAGGGAATATTTAGTAACCCCAGTCATCAACACAATGTATGTCATTACTTAGCACGTACTCGGAAATGTTTCCTGGATAAAGGAATGAATGGGTGGGTGATAGACCAAGCACATACTAAAGAGGAAAAATGTGCTGCTCTCGTACATTAACATTCTGAGAAGAGGTCAGAGAGGTCTTGAATGTCAAATTAGTCTTCAAAAAAATATCAGAGAACCTGATTTAGAGTATTTCAAAGTAACATACACACCGAGACTGGTGTCAGGATTAATAAAAGCTGGAACCCAGGTCTTAAATATGAGGGTCGCATGTTGGGGTAACTGGCAGTGTGGCTACTGAGGTGTCAGGGGATGGGAAGCAGTGATTGTGAAGACCAAGGGGTGGGCGTCTTAAATGGTTTAAGAAAACACAATGCCATACACAGGTGATGTATCCCAGAAACGTACACTTCCAACCTATGTCACCCCAATATATTTAACTTAAATAATAGATAAATAAACTCCACGATAGTCTGTTTAGCCCTGCCCGGGCAGCTCAGTTGGTTGGAGTGCCCCCTACATCGAAAGGTTTCAGCTTTGTTTCCCAGTCAGGACACATACCCAGGTTTCGGGTTCAATCCCTGGCTGGGGTCCCTGCGGGAAACAACCCATCAATGTTTCTTTCTGTCTCCTTCTCTAAAAATCAGCAACAAAAACAACAAAACATATCCTCGGGTGAGGATTAAAAAAAAAAAGTCTGTCTAAAATTTTTAAAAAGAAAAAAGCCGGAGTGGGATAGGAGCAGGATCTGTACTGATTGCAAGTTACCAGGTGGAAGGAAAACATCCCTCCTCCCACTGGTGGCTCCGGCTTCGGAAGTCTAAATGGCCCTTGTGGCTCGGGTGTTCCTCTTGCTTTCAGTGGAACAGCTTGATGACTTTTAGTTGCATAAGAAGGTAGAGCCTCCCCCTCCCTCCTACCCTACAGAGGTCCTGAGCTATGCTTCAGTCTGCGTGCTAAGGGAACATTTCCAGATTACTTTAATGACTCAGTCCCTCCACCAGCTTCTCAGCCTTTCCTTGTTTCCTGATACACACTTCTCCACGTGTTGTGGGCTCGCAGAGCTTTGCTGGGCCCCTGAAGAGGGTTTGGAAGAAGAATGACAGATTATTACCTGGTGGGCAGCGCATATTATATTTGTGTGGCGTGGCAAAAAGTAAGCACATGGCACACAGGTTATCCTTTTTATGTTGCAAAGAATTAAGAATTTTCTCTGCTGAATGTAAAAGGCATTTTAACAAGGGCCATGTAAAATTATTTGCCGTACGTACATTGACTATGAAGTAATGAAATTGTCATTAGTCATGTTTTCGTTGAATGTTCTAACTGGCGTTCATAAAAATGGAACGTTGTGCCCATCACACAGTTAGTTCTCTACACTGGCTCAGAGGACCATCTCGCAGCCTCACTGTGATTTGTCTTGTTTCTTTAAGTCTATCGTTGATTCCAGTGAGCAAAGCCAAGCACGTGTGACTCACAGAAGCCCGCGCGTGCTGAAGGTGTATAAGGTGTATGACACTGGCCGGGTATAAGGACAGCCTCGCCCATGTAGGCATGTGTTCCCTTTCCCCTCCTTCCCAGGACATCTACGCTTGGGGAAAGCATATAATTTCTCTCTCCACTAAAATCTGCCATCTCTACTTTGAATTATTTTCACTTGCAAAATTAAATTGAATTATCCATCATGCACATAAAAAGTTTGATTGCTAACTGCCTAGGTCTAGACATTATGAATTAGCTGTATTATCCTATCTCTTGCATACATCTCAGAAGGCTATGCTTTTACATAAAAGCATAAATTGCAGGGTGAGAGGGGTAAAACCGAATACATATTACGCAAGTTTACAGAGTAATATGACCTATGACTGTTGTTGTAACCAAAATTGATTTTCTACTGGTTATAAAACTAAAACAGTTAATTGAAAGCAAATTTACTTGAACCGATGAGATTCAAGATAAAAATTATAGTGGTCATGAATCACAGTTCTGCAGATCTGCTAAAATGCCAGTATGCTGACATTCAAGTATTATTGATGGCAAAAGCATCTAATGTATTAATGGGAATACAAATAAGAAAAATAAAACGCATTTTTCACTCTCGTCTTACATCATGCCGACACCATCCATAAACCAGGCAGAATTTGGGAATGTTTTCTCCTGCATGTGTCCTGAATCAGAGTCAGCAGTGGGAGGCCACACTCTCTAGGTACACATTTCTGATGTGGATCAAGCAAGTCACTTACAGTCAGTCACTGGGCTTCCTTCTTTCTCCTTTTCACGTAAACCAGAAGGTTGAGGGTAGATCCATTCTTGGCTCCCAGGAATTTTTCCAATTTGGTAGATTCTGCTCACTGAGGTCTTGAACACAGCACGTGGACAACATGCCGTTGGAGAAATAGCAACAGACTGAGGCTGGAGAATGAGTGCCCGGGAGCCTTCGGGTCATATGTGAAATGACAAGCTTGGCTTAAGAGTTCCTTCTTTCACAGTTGATTTGTAAGCAGCAGTACTTTCTGAAAAAGAAATCTTTCCTCAAATCCCAGCATATAAAACCAATCAGAGTGGACTTGTTCTGAAGTAAAGAAATAAAATCCGGAGCCCCGTTTATTTGGCTTACCCAAATAAGATGATCTTTAAGGTTCTTTTCAATTCAGAATGTTCACGTTTTGTATTCATTTCAGCCAATGTTATATTAGGACTAAAGAGTCCATTCGTGGAAAAGGGGACCCCTTTGATTTACACAAACACCCAGTGGCAGCCTTAACGGCATGCTACTACTTTGTGTCGGGAAGATCCCTTCCAAGTCTGGCTTTATGCATGACTATGCGAAGATGTACAGGAAGTCTAGATGGTGGTCAAGAACGTGCTGTTTGGTGAGAGAGGGGCCTTGGCTGGAGTTAGGTCTCTTCCATTGACTAACCACAACCTTGAGTGAGTTATGCAGTCTCCCTGATAGACAGTTCTCTCATTCATAAAATGGGATGCGCAGTGGCATCTACTGTCTGGGCTGGTGTGGGGATAAAAGGCAGTAAGTCGCCCTGGCCGGTTTGGTTCAGCGGTTAGAGCGTCCGCCTGCGGTCCGGAGAGACCCGGGTTCGGTTCCCGCTAAGGGCACGTACCTTGGTTGCAGTTTGTCCCCGGCCCTGGTTGGTCGTGCGGGTGGCAGCCGCTCAGTGTGTCCCTTTCACATCGATGTTTCCCTCTCTCTCTCTCTTCCTCTCTCTCCCTCCCACTCTATCTGTACAAAAAATGGAAAAATGTCCTCGGGTGAGGATTAAAAAAAAAAAAAAAAGGCAGTAACTCTGTGAAGCGCTCAGCACAGTGGTGCTGGCATGCAGTCCTCGCTCAAAGGGTGACCACTCATTGAAACACAGATGTTTGCTGAACGAATGAATGAACAAATGAATATAGAACTGGCTTTCTGTTCCTGACATCTGGAATCTCTTTATGTTTCATTTACTTCCGTTTTAAATATGAAAATTTAGGTCTGCTAACACAAATCTGCTGATGCAAATAATCAAATTGTGATTATGCAGGTCCATGATTTTTGATGGGATAAGAAAAATTGGATGCTAACACAACATAACTTTCATTTAGAAAACGGAGTCACTGGTCAGATCCACCAGGCTTGTCAATGTAATATTTTTGTCCATGAACATAAAGCTCTTGAGAAAGGGGATTTGGGGGCAGTCCTTCTCAAATTTGAGCTCCCACCAGAATCACCTGAACTGCTTGCTGATACACAGGTTGCTGGGACACACCTGCAGAGTTTCTGATTCAGGAAGTCTGAGGCGGAGCTTGAGAATTTACATTTCTAACGTGTTGCTAGGTGATGCCGATGCTACTGGTCTGAGGAATATACTTTGAGCCTCACTTCTTAAAAGTAAAGATGACATAGTTAAACCCAGTTGTGGCATTTGAAGAGCAGAAGCTAAATACAGAATGGTAATGAAACGGCATGCACTTAGGTATGTAAGGGACCTACATCAACTATAAATTTGAGTTCAACAATCATGATAAAATTGGTGATTCTTTCCAGGTATTTGGTTGTTTCTGTCTAATATAATTGTCAATGTGAATATACTTTTTATGTTCCAAACAGAAGCAGATCTTGTGTACAATGTTGTTTGTTTTTAGTTTGTTTATGAGCTATTCCAGCACTGTTAGCTTATACACTAAAACATGTTTTCTCATTTTTATTGTAGTATGGAAGAGAAGAGAGCGACTGGACAGTTATCGTATCCTGAATGGAAAATACAGGATATTATCTGTGTGCTATTGGGACAGACTGTTGCTTTTGAATTATGATAGATTCTTTGGCTGCCTGTTTTCACTTATGCATAATGTAGTTTATATTATCAGTGTTAGCGGGGTGATTGTTTTCTCATGCCAGAGAAAACGAATTGCAGTCATCAGATGCTGCTTTGTAAACTTGGTAGTAGAAGCTTATCTTCCCTTCCCTTAGAAAGATGATCATGTAAGCCATATAGCATAGACTTCCCCTCAGTAATCTTAGTGCCTCCCTTAGGACTTCACTCAGATACAAAAATGTGTGTGTATTCTTTAGCATAAGGTCTGCTCCTCAACCAAATGAGTTTGTGTGTGTGTGTTTGAAAGCTGATCTGAGTAAGTTTCTTAGGCAACACTTCTTGTGACACATTTGCATCCTCAGAAACTGTTTTCTTTTTTTTAAATCAAGACTAAAAAAATGGATTTCCTCATGTCACATTTTTTTCCCAGGCCCTCAAGTCCATCTTAAGGTCAATGTCTCCTTTCTTCCTGCTGTCACAATCTACACTAAGCTCTCCTTGTGCGTCAGCAAGGTCCATGCACACTTCCACCACGGCCCTTTCCACATCGTGCTGTGATTGGCTGCTTGCAGGCTCCACTACCACACTGAGGGTCTTGTGCCTTAGAGATCTGTGTATCCCCAATGCCTGGCACATGATAGGTACTCAGTAAATAATGAATAAATGAATACTTACCTTCTATAGAAGTGAACCTCCTTTGTTTCTATATTATGAAACCTCTTTATTAGAATAGTGATTGATTCTGAGATTGTGTATATTTACCTCATATTGTCTTTATTTTCCGTGGAGTGCTAAGTCATTAGAGATACTCAGAGGCATAGTTCCTTGGAGGAATTATTTCATATGTAAGACTGTCTTGGGATTGAAGTTATAACTCTACAGAGAAGTCATGATATCATGTCAACCAAATGGAAATTACAAATGCTATATGTTAAGTGTTGTATACAAAATAAATAATCAAACTGAGTCTGTAGGAAGCACAGAGAGGTATACTCTGATTTTTATATTTTTGGCTTTATAGTTTCTGTTTTCTGTTGAGTGGGGATTAGATGAGATGTGGTTAGGGTACAGAGAGAGCAATTGTAGATGATATTTTCCTCATTTAGGAGCTCTGGTTTATCTAGGGGAAAGTGAAAGTAAAATAGAAAACATTTACCCTTGGAAGGTCAACTCTCAGACATTATATTTTGGTTTTCTTTGGTACTAATAACTTTCATCTTGCTGATCATATTTTATTCTCTTTTCAAAGCAAGGAAAAAAAATTCTAAAAGTTTGATGCACTGAAAAATTTTCCTTAAGGCATTTAGCAGCACATAGCAAATGGGCCTTTGATTCTTTTCCAAGACTTGGCCATGGGGTCTTTTTAGATAGGAATGGTAAAATGAAAATTAGGGAAGTATAAGATGAAAAAGAATGATAAAAATGTCTTTTAAGGGGCTTTTAATTGTTGATCTGAAGTCTTGGGAGAATCTGTTCTTTTCAGGCCTCAGGTGCTCATCTGTCCGTCCTCTACCCTCTTAACCCAAATAGCACTCTAGGGGTATGCTTTTGCCATGACTAAACCCTGGGACCTCATCTTTAGTACAGCATTCTAGAAAAGACTTCCAGGTCATTTTAACCTGTCAAGTAGCACATAAATGACCAGACTCACATTCCTAGGAGAAATGGAAATCATTTGTTTGTCATAAATCTTATATTTTGCATCTCTACATATAGTACGGTAAGACATGTCCACTACAAAAGCTAGAGAACAATGTTTCGGCATCACCTCTGTGTGATTTCTTTCATCAAAATTTGAGAGCATTTTAAGCCCTTCTTAAAGAGACTTAGTGAAGATTGAGGATATACATTAAAAAAAAAACAACAAAAAACTGAAGGTCTCCTAAAGCAGAGCACGATCTGCCATTCTTCTTTCAGTAATAAGTGGGAAATTGACCTGGACCCTGTCTTTCTAACTAGATTTAAAGGGGACATCTGCACATCTTTTTCCTTGTGCACTACTTGTTTAATTGCAGTGGATTAATACAGCAAGAGTGGCACATTATAACTAGGCAATTATCCATTCTTGAAGACTTAGTTATCATAACACTAATTGATCATTTAAGGTGTAAGATAGTCTAGCATAGGAACATGTAAGGCTAATCTGCTCGAAAAGATCAACAAATTAATATTGTTGCTGATATTTGCATAATTGGCAGCAATTATTTAATGTTTAATTGGTTGATCAAATGAGATTCAGCAATTCACATGTGCATGAATAGAAATGAACTGGCGGCACTTAAAATGATAATGGTTTACGTATTTTGCATGTTCTCGTCCACATTTTTCAATTTTACTTTTTTTTTTGGTTTGTTTCAGACCAATTTTGTCAGCTCTTTCCAAAGCACATAAGTAGAAACTGGGATTTTTAAATGAAGCATTCCAACATAGACAAAACATGAGCATTTCCAAAAAATATTTGCTGTTAGAAATGTTCTGAGTTACAGTGATTTATTAAGGACAGACCCATGGCACACCAAAGAAGGATCCGCATCAGGGTTGTGCACCATGCAGTTGGCAGGACTGAATACATTCATAATATCTGCTCTACCCTTTTCTTTCAAAAGTACAAAGGAAAAGGGAAATGACCAAGAAACTGTTAGGGAATCATGATTTTCCTCCCTGGTCAACACCCTTTATTCTTTTCTCAAAAGCTTTTGTAAGAAAAAAATCAGAGGTAGCAGCAAGCAGGTGCAGTGTAACGTCAACTAGGTGACATGTAATTCCGGCACTCTCGAAGGTATGGGAGGCCTTCATTATACACCCTGGGTTAAAATTCTTCACCATATCAGTTTTGTTGCTTGATATACTTGTATCTAAGCAAGCAGTCTTGCTTTTCTCAAATCAGACCCTTCTTGGGCACTTGAAGGCAATTAATGAGCATAACTTAGTCAAAAGAATTGTAGGAGCTCTTTATTAAAGCTACAGTTTGAAATCTGCTTCAGGCCTTTGTGCTGGGAAATGAGCTGCCAAAGGAGCTTATTTATGTTCCCCACTCAGTGCACGATCACTGTATTCTTTTTCCTTAAAAAGTTTCTTTTTAAAATTGTATGTTCAGTTTACCCTTATGATTGGGAAAAATGTGTTTTAAGCAGGAAATGATAGCATTTGTTCACTTTCAATGACTTATATTGAAAATATTAGAGCAGCCCTGGCCAGTTTGGCTCAGCGGTTAGAGTGATGGCCTGAGGTCCAGAGAGACCCGGGTTCTGTTCCTGCTAAGGGCACGTACCTTGGTTGCAGTTTGTCCCCGGCCCTGGTTGGTCGTGTGGGTGGCAGCCACTTGATGTGTCCCTTTCACGTCGATGTTTCTCTGTCTCGCTCTTCCTCTCTCTCCCTCCCACTCTATCTGAACAAAAAATGGGAAAAAAAATATTAGAGCAGTAAATATTCATTGGATGCATTAAAAACAAAAGGCTAAGATAGGAGTTATAAAAACATTGAAAGGATTCCTTATTTCATGTCCTGATTCTAAATATGATAGAAGATTTCTTCCTTGTAATGTGGATTTGCAAAAACCTAGGTTTCAAATAGTGATGCTGGGAAGTAATTTCAGCGGACACTTTATAACACCTGTCACCTTGCTTTGCTACAAGTAGAAGTTGTTAGCTATCCCTTTCCAGTTATCTTCCCGAAAAGGAGGCAGAGGGTACCAGCTTTCCAATAACATGGCCTATTAATTGACAAGGAACATGGAGCTTATAGTTAACGTTTGATCAGTTAATTTGATAAATGTTGATTAAGTACTCAAAAATGTACATCCAACCCAACTTGCAATAAGCATTGAAAGTTAGTTTTAGAAAATAAGTAGTGTATATACATTCATTGCCCTCATGTTGTTTATACGCTAGTACTCAAACAAATTTTAGGTATAAAAGCAGTATTTAAAGCAGCTAAGTAATAAGGACACAGGCCAAAGCACATCTGTTTAACAAGAAATTACAGGGAATATTTTCACTTTTTAAAAAGGTAATTCATTTTATTTATATTTTTTTCCATTGATTTTAATTTATTTTTTTATTTTTTCGGAAGAGTGGAAGGGATGGAGGTAGAGAGACATGCACATCAGTTGGTTGCCTCCCACACAGCCCTGGTCAGAGCCGGGGAAACCTACAGCCCAGGCACGTTCCCTTGACCAGAATCAAACCCACGATCCTTCAGTTCGAGGGCCGATGCTCCAGCCTTGGAGCCAAAGCGGCCAGGGCTTCATCTAATTTTTAAAGGATATTTGTCCCTTTTCCATTCCTTTCTTTCCTCTAGTCAAAGCTACTCAGTCTGGTTAGTGGTTAGGGGCCATTCAGCCTCTGCCTGTGTGGTGTGGATTACGTCCTGGTTTACTACTGGCTGCCAACCTCTAGCCCACCGTGAACTACGTTCTTCTGGAGCGCTGGCGAGTTGTCATGGTACATCTCAGAAAGGGGCACTTCTAATTACAGCATCTTTGCTGATCTTAAGCTCAAAGTCAGATTATACTGAAATAAATTGTTCCTAGAGTTGTTTTTTTTATGTTTATTAGTAATCAAACTGTTTAGAGTGTTAGCTTGAAAATAGTGGATCCAGCTACTTTGACAAAAAAAGGTGGAAGACTAACTTTAGTTTAATAATGATTTTTCAAGATTGAGGTTTAAAAGAAAGGCCATTTAAACTATTGCAGAGAGATTTATTTTTATCCTTGCCAAAAGCCCTTTTAAAAATACAATGGGAAAAGAAACTGCTTTATTTTTTATCTTCAGCATACATTAAGAGACTTCTCAGATATTTTGCGGGGGGTGGGGAGGAGGTTGGTAATGAAACATCAACAGGATATAGTAGTGTTTGTGGGTAAATAATTCCTTGGGATCAGATATATGTAAACATTTGCTTTAATGAATGATAAAGGCATAAAATTTGGTCTTAGAAAATGAAGTGGTCTTTAAAATCTGCTGGATACAAGTGCTGAAGTCTTAAGTAATCTGATTCTGTCTGAAAGTATATTTTTCATGCCACAGTCGATCCAGCTGGTAAGGCCTAAAACTTGAGTTGCATAATGTTCAACTTACGGAATCAACTGCAAGTTACGGTGTGAGAATGAATCGAAATGTAGTTTCGACAGATGTCTCTGCATATCCACTATCACAATGGCTAGGTTCCTCGTTATCCATTGTTGAATTATGGAGAAAAGTTTACCTGGAGAAAACATCAGGGGAAGAACAACTGGAGGTAGAGAAAGAAAAGAATGATAGAACAGGAAAAGAATCAGGCTTGCTTCTGCATTCTCCAAAGAAGCGTTTTTCTTAGTGTGCCAGCCACAAGGACCTTCAGCTGTCAGCATGGGTGCCAAGCATCAATCTTAGAGCCAGTTAGGAAGCAACCAAATACAGGGGCAGCTCCTCAGCTAGTAGAAGTAGGCCATGGTCATCGGGTAATACTCCGAGAGTTGTGTTACATGGAAATCACTTATTTGAATAACACTTTATCTTACAATGGCATAGTCTACAGGACCTATTGTTTCATCTCTGCAATCATTTTATTCTAAGATTTGTGAAGCTTCTTGAGGCTGGCGACAAAAGTAAGTGACAAGGGAGCAGACTGGAGTGGCTTGTGACTATTTTTCCTCCTTAGAAATCATATTTACCACTATCTCCTTTCCTTGGTGAAGGTTACTGGTTTGGAAATTAGTTGAATGTTGTCCTTTAGTTTTTAACTGAAATGTGCAATGACACAAGTTAGTTTCCTCAAGCTAACTTCATGTTGTCATTAAAGTCATTCTCAGGGTTAAGAAAGGAGTTCCGATATATCGCAATTTCTACTTCATGGATGAGTTTTGGGAAAATACAGGAATTCTCTCAAGAGTATGGCTGTAAGTAGATTCTGAATCGGCTTAAAAATAAGCTGGCCACTCTGTATGA